TATTCCTAAAAGCAGAAGATTGGCCGTCAGCCGTGGAGAACTTCGTTTGGAATTGGTCTTCAGCAAACCATGCTTGTCCTAAGAGGCGACTAACGGGATCGGGTGGTGAGGCTCGCTAACTTGGTTGACACGTGTAATCGTATCCCAATTGCGTAGTCAATGCTCATACTGTGACTCTCTCCCAACCGTTAAGAGAAAACTCAAAACATTTCTTTTCTCATCTACTGATTGAACTGTAATAAAGTGACTTCTAACGTGTAAAGCACCATTGAGCAGCTGTATATAGCTAGAAATAGTGGCTATACAAAGCAATTATTATTAATTTTTTTTATTCATACTGCTGATCACTGGATTGTCTGGTTCAGACGCGATTATTTACAGACCACCGCCATATAGCTGGAATATTGCTGAGTGCGGCGTTAAACAACAATCAATCAATCTTTTTTACAATATATGACACAGACTACAACTGTACATCTGAATAGTCACGTCAATAACATTAAAAGTATCCATTGTTTAGATGGAAAAGTATGCCTCGAATAGGGTGGAAAATACTTTAAATTATGAGTCACTAGACCTGATGCTAATCGTGTAGCAGTCTGGGAAACTGACATTTACAATGGCGACGCATTTTGTTGAAATCTGTTCCAAAAGGTAATCGAGAGTGGTATTCTTTTGCGTTAACGTATATTAATCGCTTCATTAAAGACTTAATGCAATGTAAAAATGATGAAATGAAACATTGAGTTACCCTATATGAATAGACCGAATATGTGATATGTATCTACATTTTTCAATAAAATGCCTCGTCCTTCTGCGCTGGAACCAGTCCCTAGTTATGGCTAAACATTTGTAACAGTTCCCTTCATTACTCGAGTAAATAAACACAAATAACAGATAAATATGTTTCGAGAATGATTGAAGTCTGACCAGCTAGACACCAATATTGGCGTATATTAGAAACTAAGTACTCAACGTCAGATGGTCGTTCCGGAAGCGTATTATGTTCTTTTGTCTCGTCCGTGGGGTTACGAATACATCACTGTCGTAATATAAGCTAATACTCGAGTCTGGAACAAGATTTATTAGTACTCGATAGTGCAATCAGTGTATTCACAGACGTGTCTTACAAATGGAAACATCGGGCGAGAAGACATAATTATACTCTAGATTATTCAACAAATCAATTTTGGCCTTCCTGACTGCTCCAATTAACGTTTTTGCAAACAAATAACGGCTTAATAGAAATTTGATATTTTTTTGAATGAGTTACCCTTTCCCAGTTGTGCCAGATATGTATGTGAATACTATTGCAAGTCCCCATGGCCTGTTAGACTTGGTCGAACTGGTGCCATGTTGGTAGCGAGAGGCGATTAAAATGAAGACCGAGCCATTGTAACTGATGATTCTATAATTTTGGAGTCCGGAGGCGTGGATCGTTGAACATGCACTAATTTCAGGTGAGTCTTGTCCAGACATGATCATTTGCGGGCTGCCGTGGTACAGCAATTGAATTGTTTTAGAGTCAACCAAATCCCTTTCACTCACTCAGTTGTCACATCCGATTTAGCAATTGTATTCCAGCAGTGATAGCAGATAGGTGCAGCATATTAATACATGTAAGTATTGCACCTCTGTATCTTCAAAACTCCTCTCTTACATGCCAAGAAGAAGACTGAGTTCAACATCGTCGGTCAAACCCGAATAAGCAATTGTATTCAAGCAGTGATAGCAGATAGGTGCAGCGTGGTTTAGCGTATTCATACATGTAAGTATTGCACCTCTGTATCTTCAAGAACTCCTGTCTCCTTACATGCCAACAAGAAGACTGCGTTCACCATCGTCTAATCTGCTTTGTGTACCAAAGTGGAACCTGTAATAATTTGGCTGCAAGTCTTACCAGAACATGGCATAGGTCAAATGGAATTCCCTTCCTGATGAACTTAAGCTGTCTCTAAGCCTTGAAAACTACAAAACGGTCTGTGTCAATTGACTTCATTAATGCTTTATTCATTGTTAGCGTTATGAGCACACCTGGAGTGGAGTTTGGCGCTATTTAAATGTATTGTGTATGTAAGCATGGCCAAATCTATTTCAAAGCAATTGATGGAGTACGTTGATTGTAATCTTGTCTTGATCTAGTATATCACTGTAAATTAACGGATGGCTCCATATGTTTCAGTGTTTAAGCATGTTGTACTTTGTAACATTAAAAATAAAACGTCCATGCCAGAGGTCGATCAGATGCTATTTCAGACGTAAAAATCCAGCTTGGGTCCATGCAGGTTGCAAAGGTACTGTAAGTGCCCATAGTTCCTAGTATGGTGACTTACCTACAGTTGCTGGTGATCTCCAGCCCGTTTTTATATTGTATTGTGACTATTGTTCATAATATTTGTTTAATTTTAAAGTTACATGATAGTTTAATTCTTTGTCTGTTATAATCTAGTTGTTTTACTGTCATTCGTCGACAGGTATTATAATTAAATTACGTTTATTATGAATTAATAACTTTCTAAAGTCGTGATATGGCTAAAATATTGCTAACGTGACTGTAAATCTTCACTCCCTCAGACGTAAAACTGGGGTAAAAAAAAGTCTAATTGATCGCAGAAAATCACTGTTGTCACAAAGTGTTAGCATAAAGAGTAAGCGTCACCCACTCACATTCCGGTGCCGAAGTCGTACACTACCCCTGCCATATGACGGCGACCTGGAAGCAATTTAAATCGGCCAGCTGCAGGCAATCCAGTCATAAGATAACGGACATACAGCTTTTGTTGAAACTAAGAGGTGTGTACAGACGCAGATTTTGCTGCTTCAAAGCAAAACCCTTAAGGGATACATGTATGTAAAGAAACATAACTACTAAATCAATCTGACGTTTGATTTATTTTGATAAAAAATCTACGTTTATTTGAAGAACGATTTTGACTGACTAAATTACACAGGTGCGAGTTGGAAACGTGATATCCTTTTTGTCAGCATAATTTAATTGTTCTTCTTTGTGTAGAATACAACAGTGAGATCAGAAGACGAGTTATTTTTATAAGTGACTTCATAAGAGGCCACAGCACAAACTTAGAGGGTTCTTGAACTATTATCAAAGGGCAATATGAAACCACATTGTGCTACTTGACGTTTGAGATACCCTTGCTGATATCTTCATGAATAAAGATTTTACACTAGAAATTGTTAGCAGCACATTCAGACAGAAATGGCATTTGATCGAAACATATAAAGATAAGAAGGAAACAGTGAATAGGTGCAGACAAGTCACATACATCTTTGACTGAATTAACGATTGATGGCTCCTGTTAGTCAATGATGTGTCGATCGGTCTCGAGAAATCACATTTGTATGTTTTGTGTTATTCACTGAACATGCTAGTGCCACATTCATGATACGACAAATGGGCTACAAGTACATAGAGGTCTTTGTAGTTGTCATATGTAAGTTTCTCATCATAACCAAAGAATACGACTACTATGGTAACTGCTTCATCTACTGAGACTTCTGCAACGACGAAAGGAACAGGTGGTTTAGAGAAGCTGTGTGTTTAAGTGGCTACACAAGGTGATATGATGACATCTTTGAATGTCTTTTGTCTCTCTACAGATGCATCAATGACCAAAACAATGTGATCACAAGACGGTTGCCTTTGTTCATGCAAACGGCACAGGTTACTGCAGGTGGAAATGGTGGGCGTTTGAATCTCAAGCAAACTCACAGTTACTAGTCACGTATTTTACAGTCGCATCATTTACTTCCTGGTAAGGCTTACCGATTTTGGACAAGTTATTACATGTAAACTGCAACGGTCTATATCGAAATGTTTCCTGTATAAGCAGAACTTTTAATGCATTAATGTCGATATCTACATTTACATCTTTAAGATACTGGGGTGGTATTGTATGCTGTAGAGGTACTATCGTGTAACGTAACAGAATGTGTTCAAAACTCAAAATGCATGTGCAAAAAGATTCACTTTCCTTTCAACAAGAAAAACAAAGAAAGAGTGAACCTATAGTCTGTTTGCAGTGAAAACGTACCGATGAATTTCACTTTAAACAAGAAAGTAAATCAAATAAAGTGAAATTAAGATTGCGAATCCTCATAATTTTACCTTGCCAACTGAACATTTAAATATCAGAATTTTATTAAACTTAGGATAAACGTTGTTTAACAAACGATCTTAGTTTCAAATCGTTATTATTGGTTTGTATTACAAGGGTGTGTGCACATTAAATGAAACACCGAGAACAACTAGGGTTGGTCTAAGTTAACGCTCATCACGTACCACACGTGCATTTGTTTCAGTGTTCCAACTACTGTACTTACCCCCTTGTAATACAAACCAATAATAGCGATTTGAATCTATGATCGTTTGTTAAACAACTTTTATCCTAAGTTGAATAAAATTCTGAGATTCAAATGTTCAAGTGGCAAGGTAAAATTATGAGGATTCGCAATCTTCATTTCACTTTATTTGATTTACTTTCTTGTTTAAAGTGAAATTCATCGGTACGTTTCCACTGCAAACAGACTATAGTTGGCGTTGGACATTTGATCATAAGCACACCTCGCCGAATCCGGGATGGTCTTGCGAATAGAGTTGGATTCACACGATACTTATGAGTGTGACTGTTCATGGTAAATATGGCGTGATTGACAGTGGGGCACAAAGAACATTTATCGTCATCTTACCTTCTACGAATAATACAAATCGCGGATGTCCCTGTCACACCGGTAAACTATTGATCTCATTGAAAATATAAAATACCAATTGCTGTGACATCTGTTTATTGAATATGCCTTACTTTTAAATACTTTATATAAAGCAACTTATTCTATTTGTACGTTGTATTATATTTGCCATTTTGGCAATGGTAACCTATTGTTAATACGTTAATCCTCCTTAACACAGTATTGTTGAGAAATGAACACATTTTCAAGATATATGATTGTATGCACATTGTGTAATCGTAAAACGGGTTGCGTCATCGACCAATTATAAACAAGAAGTTGTCTGTCACAGATGTGGACTCATGTTTATCATCCACTCCATGTCGACGTCTTGATTTTAGCCATGATGTCGAGGGGGACGTGGAAGCCTTCAAACGCTGAAACACAGCAATTATGTAGTCTTAATACCAACGTTCACAAGTACAACAAGTGCGGCCAAAGCCTGTTCGTAGTTATGAGATCTCGTGCCAAAAGCAGGGTCGATGTTTTGCTGATACAGTTGCAAAGCTAGTTTATTGTTCACCTGAAAAAGGTAACGTTGGGTAGCTTAGTTGTTAAAGCTTTCGCCCGTCACGCCGAAGATCCGGGTTCGATTCCCCATGGGTACAATGTGTGAAGCCCATTTTTAGTGTCCCCCGCCGTGATATTGCTGGAATACTGCTATGAGCGGCGTAAAACTAAACTCATTCGCCCCTCTTACAACATTGGGACAATCATGGTACAAATGTAAATGGGATCGGACGTCAAATATTGGTCAGTGATGCGTGAAAAAATGTCTTTCACACGTCCACCATAAATCTTCCTGAAAGCTTTTCGGGATTATTGATTGCTATAACCTTGATCAAGCAAGTTATTTGCTATTTGCAAGTTATTAGATAAATCAGTGTCATTTTCCAGATGATTGGGCAAAAAGAATGCAGCATTAACAAAAGTAACTGATGCTCAGCATTGACAAATAAATTATGTCGATCTTGATATTTAATTGAGGTAAGAAAACACGAGTGTATGACCGTACGTTTTATGTATACACTTATTAATTGGGCGTTACGCAATAGTGTTTATAATAATTATTCATATGCAATTAATATTTTAGAGAAATGGATATCCTCCTATTACTGTTGCAAACTGACAAAAAAACATACCGGTAGGAATGCACATACTTTGGGTAACCTCTTCTGTATGTCAAGACAAACATTAAGAATTTCTATTCACCGTTGTCTTAGCATGGAGTCAATATTATATCATAATAGCGACGAAACAGTTTCCATAATCATACAAAATATATCATACAAATCTTTAACATAATCCACCAACAAATATTGTGACTGTACAAACCTGAGACAGGGAACCTTCCATGTTGAGGATTTGTATTGCCATGTTTACTGGAACGGGGACAACTGACCCCAGGGCAATGATCCAGCCGAAGACGATGGCAGTCTGCGGATACTCGTACCCTCCGTATCTTGGAGGAGTGTAGGACGCCAGTGTCAATACCAAAGCAGCCTGAAGAGATACGGTATTTACATCCCAAAATATAAACATACAACGTCGTGGCATGCAGAGGTATCGGGTTACACTTTGCTGATGGCAATATTTACGAAAATAATGAATTAACATTTCTTTCGCGAATCGTGCGACATATGCCATTGAAGAGATAATAACTCAATGCAATTCACTGTGCAGAGTTGGGTCCCTTGGGCACGCCAGAGAACTATGATCACGGGTTCAAATCGTTGTTCGAAACGAGACCAGCATCACGTCGGACATTCATCCCATAACAAAACGACACGCCGTGTTATAACAGTAACACTGACAAATGCGGTTTAAAATTCACTCATTTGTTCACAATTTAAGCATGCTGAAACATCAGCTGGAAGTAGTATTATCTACAATGCCATTGGTGACGCAATGCCTTATGTGTGTTCTACTATACATTATGAAATGTGTAAGATCAAACCACCTACAGACATTACAACAGGGGTAATGATGAAACAGGACACTTTGTAGATTACAGGAAGACGTTTCCCAGTCATCATTTCCACATCAGCTGAGAAACGTTCAGCACCTGTGAATAAATCCATGAAAGGTTACATCTACTAAAGACGACACCCCAAGTAAACGATACAAAGATAACATTTATAAACATAAAATGCAACGTCATGCATTTTGTCCTTGTGTACCTAACAAGGCATCTGTAACACTTGCTATAATTTGGATTACATTTTCCCAGTAAGGTACAGATTCTAGTACTTCAATTGGGTTGAGTCCCATCCGGGATTCGGACCCACGCCCTCAGAGTCAGGCACCGAATAGCCAGCAGACAAGTCAGCCGTCTAACCTACTCAGCCAGCGGAAGTTGTAAGTCGATCAACTGGTAGTCTAGACTTTGTGCACCCCTCTGATAAGTACAAATTTGCACGGCTCCCACGATCGGAAGCTATGAATATACAATGCCATTTAGAAAGTGGTTAACTGACTCTAAGAGTGTGGGTTCGAATCCCGGATGGGACGCAACCCAATTAAAGTACTGGAATCTGTACTTTACGGAGAAAGTGTAATCCCACATATAACATGTGTTTCGTTTGACCAAAGTAATCGTGCCTTGACCTTTGTTGTGCCGATCAACCTAACCCTACTGCACTTATCTACTAAGATTTGGTTTTACAAACGGTCGTGTGTCACTTGATAGAACTCGTGTTATAAATATAATACTTGATGTTGATAATAATACAGAAATGGATATTAAAATGTTGAATGCCACATTAAACCGATTCGTTCCATTAATTGTATTTCTTATACAGAATAGCAAATGTTGTAAATGTCTTTACCGTAACACCAGCCAACAGCCAGACACTCTAGAATAGCAATAACATAACTTGCCACTGCCCCGACATACCAGTCAACCAACTGGAAAATGTAGACTCCGCCCTGGAACAGATTGCACATATTGACGTACAAATCACTGGTAGTGCTCCCTTCAAATGATTAACTCTGCAATCATCTCGAAGTGAAGTGCAGCAAAACACTGTTGTGTCGAACATACAATGTGTGAAGCCTATTTCTGGTGTTCCCCGCCGTGATATTGCTGGAATACCTCTAAAACGGCGTAAAACTTGCTCGCTCGCTTACTTGGATAACTGGAAACATTTAATCGTTTTATTGACTATGCCTGTAGATCTTTGACTGCGAGAGGCACCTGCATACATCTAAATTATTACATATCTAAAATATTAAAGATTTTCACAAGACTGAATTAAATATCAATCCATTCCTGTTCAAATGAGTCCAGAACCATCATATAATCAAATCCAAACACATCCAACCAACCAACCAACCAACTACCAAGAGGTGAAGGAAGTGACATGCAAAGGTTCAAGCTTTAAACATCCAAGGCCTAAGTAAAGCTTTTAAAATATTCTGTGGAAGATATGTGGACATTTCAAAATTTGACATATAAGACATATAAATTATATCCGATGCAGTTCCCTATTTTGACGTGTAGCCTGTGTTTTCTATCATGAGTGGGGCGGTGGGGTAGGCTAGTGGTTAAAGCGTTCGCCCTTCGCGCCGAAGTCCCGGATTCGATTCCTCACATTTGCACAATGTTTGATTTCTTGTGTCCCCCGCCGTGATATTGCTGAAAGCGGCGTAAAACTCAACTCACTCACACTATCATGAGTAGTTGAGGATGATATCTCATTTGTCAGACACGCCAGTTGTCAAACACTTGAGTGAGGGTGGAGAAGGCTCACCCCTACAGTAATAATAGATCAGCCCGATCAGCTTAAACTCATCCATGCAAGAATTAGATTAGCATCTTATCCGCTGGTGTACGTCCTCATGCCCAGCCGTACGATTGCTACCTAGCGCCGCCTACTGAGTCTCCTCAAGACACACGTCCAACGCATCGTGAATCGTCCACGTGCCCCATCCAAGATCCAGACAGAATTCGAGATGGCTGCCATCAGAGCTGTCCAATTGGAATTCCCTTCTGCAGAAGTGACAGTATTTTTTCACTTTGCCCAGGCGATATGACGGAAGGGACAAGACCTTGGAAAGAGAGCTACCGTGAAAACCCTGAAGTGGAGAAATAGATTCGACGGGCATCTGCCTTGCCTCCTGTCCTGATGTGCTAGCAGCTGTTTCATTCAACGACTACATAGTGACGACCTGGGTGCACAATGACTCCCTATTTCCACTGTCCATGTGGAATCATCATGACACCTTCGGTCCAAGAACGGACAACTGCCTGGAAGGGTTCAACAGCCGATTGAATACCAGCCTATCAAGCCGACACCCGAACATGCATCGCCTGGCCGTTATTTTGACGATAATAGAGAAGGTAGACCGTCTGGAGATTGTCCAGTTGGACTTGGGTGCTGCGCCTCCAGCACGGAAGAGAGTGTATAGAGAATTATCTTACCTCACACATAAATGTCGCTTTCTGATTGGCTGAGCGTTCTTCTATTATTTTCAATGTACCCAGCTTACAAGCGAGTAACATTTCAATGTACCCCGCTCTCAATGGCAACTCAATTGGTACTTTGTGGTAGTAATTCTTTATCTCGAATAACTTTGAATCACGTATGATGTACGGAAATTACCGATGTTTTGCGAATGCAAGTCGATGGAAGGGAAATAACTCTAAATCTGTTTTTCTTGTCAGGCAAATCTAGCGATGGCTACAAAAAGATTTATACCCGCGCTTCAAACAATTCAAAATTAACATTGAGGTGTTCGGTAAATAAATACGTTTCACTGGTCACGAGGGAACATGGGTTGATGTACCCTCGATGTTTGTTTATGTTCCCTGAGCCCGAAGGGACAACCGGCTGGACAGGTTGCAGGAATAGAGGAAGATATGACGACTCCGATCCAGTAGATGCATGCTGTGGGGAGGCTGAGTTAATTTGACAATATCAATGTATATCATCATGTGTTGTCTTTTAGTACTGGTAAGTACAATATCTTAAAAAGTGATAACTAAAACATCTCTGACTTCCAGTGCTTTATGTAGTTTTAGTGCTTTATTGCTCATTAAAATGTGTGTTTTTTGTGTACATATGTAAAATTATAATATTAATGTTCCCTTATTCTTTCAAAGTGTCTGACTAAAGGACTACCAGTTGGACTAAAGTAAGGCCAGAAATGCTTGGAAAATGCTTTTTGGCTTCAATATCAATATGATGAATTTGACACAAGATAAAAACACATATATGATACATGTACGACTCTACCTAGTTGGATATTAAAGCTCAGATGAAAAAATGCGCTTCAGGGGTGGCTTCACAGGCGGAAAATTTGACGTTTTAACAACATTTGTAAATATTCTAAGTACAAACTGCAGTTTTGAAATACAGACTATAATTATTCATATATCCTCAACTAATTAAATTACATAAATAATTGTAAAAAGTTTTGTAACATCTACATGTGAAAAAGATGGAACTCTTGTAGTAGTTATATTCAAGATAATTACGTTAAAATTTCTTAATTCAAATCGCATAGATAATCTTGTTCACCCATAGAAGTTTCACTTCGTGTATGAGCACTGAACTGGCAACATGCGACTTGATATCTCTGCAGAACAATTAATTTCAAATTTATTCCAGTATTTCATACTGGAGAAACAAAGGGGGAAACCTCTCGTCAGCTATGACCATGTTTACTATAGAATGTGTAAAGCCCTTAATCAGACATATAGTCAGGTTTACATAGTTGTAAACAAATGAGTTACATCAGGGGTCGTGTCAAAATCAAAAACCAGGTAAGAAACACAAACTGGATACTATTACCTTTGATAAGGGTGCCATACGTCGTGCAATTTATAAACTGTTTGAACGCATAATCCCACAGACGTGTGCTAAAATACAAGATTAGATCAAAGATACAATAAATGTCCTGTTGTAATTCCGCTAGAGTCCTCGACCAACAGTGATACTGACACTTGATATTATGAGACGGTCCCTGACATGCACTGCCCGTACGTTACATAACGCTGTCGCCCTGTCTGCCTGCTTGGTGGGTCACAGTATAGTTTGTTTCTTAGAAGTGTTTCTACCATGGAATGTTTTCTAAGTTTTTCGATATTTTACGAGTAATCATTGTGATTAGGGAATGGTACATCGTGATTACTCATATGCCATATTAGGTCGAGGTGGTATGAATGATAGTACATGAGTTTTGAATCTGAAATATCAACCATTATCAAATAATTGCCAAATAGCATTTTCCAAGCATTTCTGGCCTTACTTAATCCATCATTGTAATGGGTAACAGACTTTGCTTTTGCATATAATTTTGTGCATTGGACTGTCTGACAAATGGGGGCACCTAGTTGACTAGCCGTTGCATGTGTTAATTACAGGTGCCACCTGTGGGGCCGGATATGCACATCATTTCTCAAACACTTTGTATTATCACAATAGTAGAACAAAGCCACACTCACGACATAATCGGTGTCATACAATAGAGGGTGTGTATAGGCTTATTGAGTACAGTGGAATCTGTCTATTATGGACTGGCCTGGGACTGACTCATTTGTCCGGATTGTAATGCAGTTCGGATTAGACACCTTTTTTTCCGTTACCGTATACACTGGACGGTTTATCTATCTATGGGTTACACTTTCGTCAAACTTGTTTTTTATTTCAATAAGTTACTTACATGAGTTGTCGACACAAGACCAACAATGAAGACAGCTACCACAAACACGGCAGCCATGATCGTCTGCTGATGCCTGAGTTGAAACCGCCGTGGGAGTATATCTTCCATACAACAGAGAGCTGTCTCGACATGTCCGAACTATTTACACAAAACATGCTTCGACAAAATATGAATTGGAATGACAGTAAGAGAAAACAACAGCCACAAAATGTACTTTATGATATAGTAAGTCACACGTGATACACTGTGCCATGTACACTTCCCCTCGGCCCTTGAAACTTGCCTCCACAGCAGTCATAAGACGTCGACTGCACAGAGATGTTATCATCGTCTCTTCACGTGTTTCATCTTGTGCCAAAACAGTTGATCTGTTTCACGTTTTAACACTATAGAAATATCAACGTTGGTCGATAGGCATCCTTCACATCTGCGTTTTGTTACTTATTATTAAAACTATGTTTAGAATCGTTGTACAACAGGTTTGTGATTGCATATTGTTTTCTTGAAAAATCAGTTTTTATTTACTTTACCATTGAGTCAACCGCCATCATCATCATGGTTGTGAAAAAGAAGACAGACCACAGTTGAGGAAGCGGAAGTAGTGCAACAGCTTCTGGGTAGATGATGAAGCCAATGCCAGGACCTGGAGTCGCGAGAGAAAACAGTTTCGTGATTATATGAATAGTCTGTTTACGAGTCTGACTGTGTCATAGGCATGGGTTTTGAGTTACTTTGAATAAGTGATGACAGCAGGTGTTATCAAAAAGGTATATATATTCTGCCGCACTGTTCAACCGATGACATACATGCAGGCGTATCAAGTGTTCACATGACTATTTGCTTTCACAACGGTTCGACACGGCAAATCAAAACTACACACAGCGCTTCTACTGTAACAATATTAAATATAAATTAGTGTTTGTAGTCTTAGCAGTTTGAAAAGACCACATAACGTGCCTGATCCAGACCAGCAGTAAAATGTATACATGTATTAAACAACTCTTGCCTTACCTAAAGTTACTACGTCAGCAACAGGCTGCTGTAGACTATGAGCCAGGAAGCCAACTGTTGCGAACACAACAAAACCAGCAAACACACTCGTCAACTCGCCAATGACGGCCACAGTGATTGCATTCCTGTATATGAAAGTACAAATTACTGTTGAAAGTAAATATATCAGCTATACCACTATGAGCTATCTACGCATGATAGAGCCTAACTGCCTAAACCAACATAGCCGACTCTATGACAAGCACCCATGTACATCAGGGTCTATTTGGAACGAGAATCCAC